GAGGACACAGCAGGAAGGTGGCCGTCTGCAAGCCACGGAGAGAGGCCTTAAAAGAAATCAGCTGTGTAAGCACCTTGATCTTAAACTTTTAGCCTCTAGAACTGTGAGAAAATAAATTTCTGTTCTGTAAGTCACACAGTCTGCAGGATTTTGTCATGGCAGCCCCAGCAGACTAATGTAGATTTATATGATTTATGCCTTTAGTCAACTTATAACCCAGGGTATAAAAATACTAGTAAGAGCTAAAATTTACTTCTTGTGCTTTTATATAAATTTAGAGTCATGAAAATATGGTTTGAGCACAGCAATTTCATTTTCATTATTTTAAACAATATTACTTTATCAAAAAATATATCTTCATTTATTTTAACAAACATATACTAAGTGCCTACCATGTACTTGATCTTGAAAACAGAATGATTAATGACACATGGTCCCTGAGCTTGAAAAACCATCTTAAAATTATCTGGTAGTGTAATTTTAATTTTGGTGTAAGATTCCCCTCCCCTCTGCCCCCAGAACAAAATATTGATCAGAAACCTGAACTCTGTTGGGACCAGCCTTATAATTTAGAGAGGTCTGTTTTAGAGTTTACCTTTGTACCTCTCTAAACGTTCTCTCAAATCCTTCACACAACAAACTATTGAGCTATGTACCTGGCATGGTTCTAGGTGGGAGCTTAAGACCCATCAGTAAGCAAAGCAAAATCCCCACCCTAATGCAACTTACATTCCAGTGACACAGACAGACAATAAACAAGTAACAGAGAGTACAGCCTGTGGTGCTCAGTGTTGCGGGAGATGTGGTGTTCCAGGACAAGGGAGGAGATGGTGATGGTTTACACAGTGGTCAGGGAAACATTCTCTCATGAGGCATATTCAGCAGAGACCTGAATGAAGAACAAATCATGGGAACATCCGGGGAAAACACATTCTTAACAAAGGGAATGGCAGGTGCAAAGGCCCTGAGGTGGGAGCATGCTTGATTTGTGCAAGAAACACAAGGGAGGCCAGTGAGCCGGAAGCAGTGTAGGCAAGAAGGGAAAAGGGCTGGAGATCACTGTCAGACGTGGATTTCTACCCTACGTGAGACAGGAAGCCATTGAAGGTTTTGAAGCAGACAAGTAACGTGCCCTGATATACGTTTTGAAAAGCTGGTTTTGGCTGCTTGCTGAAAACAAACTATTGAGGGGCGAGGGTGGGAAGAGTGAGACTAGTCAGAAGGCTAGTTCGATCATCTGGGTGAGGGGTTGTCACTGGCTGGACCAAAAGTGGAAATGGTGAGGTGCGTTTGTGTATTAGTTATCTACTGCTGCATAACAAATTACCCCCAACTTTCTGGCTTAACACAACAGACATTTATTATCTCACAGTTTCTGAGGTTCAGGAATCTAGAAGTGGCTTAGCTGGATGGTTCTGGCTCAGGGTCTGCCTCTCAGGAGGCTATGGCTGTCATGGGTGTGCGTCATCTGAAGCCATGACCAAGGATGGGGAATCCTCTTCCAAAGAAGCTCACGCATGCGGCTGTTGGATGGAGGCCTCAGGTCTTCACCACGTGGGCCCTTCCACAGGGCCCCCTTGAGATGGAGTAGCTGGCGTCCTCCAGAGCAAGTGATGAAAGAGAGAAAGACACAAAGAAAGAAAAGAGAGAAAGACAGATGTTGCAGGGTCATTTATAACTTAATCCCGAAAGTGACATATTGTCACTTCTGCCAAATTCTGTTGGCTGCTCAGCTAACCTAGGTACAGTGTGGGAGGGAATTACACAAAGGTGTGAATACTGGGAGGTGGGCAACTTCGAGAGTCATCTTGGAGGCTGCTTACCACAGCTCAGATTCTAGTTTGGTTGATGGATCGAATGTGGCATGTAAGAAAAAGAAAGGAACCAAGATAAGTATAGAATCTTTGGCTGACTTTTGGGAAGGGGCGTAGGAGAGTGAAGGGGACTATCGGGAGCTATTTTGGGACATGTTACGTTTGAGAGCCTACTAGATATTTAAGTGGAGATGGCAAGGGGGGAGCTCAATAAATATCTGGGTGTGGAGTTCCGGAGAGAGATGCAGGCTGGAGATAGGGGCTTGTCTGTTTACAGATGGATCCAATCCCTCTGTAAGAGAAGAGGCACAAGAGCTGAACCCTGGACCCCTGGATCTAAATGTGGAGAGATGATGGGGAGCAGCAAGGAGACTGGGAAGGCACCAGTGAGGCCCAAGCTAAGTGCTGCTGAGGGACGAAGAAGTAAGAGTAAGCCGGTTCTGGTCCTCTGCCACAGCTGCCACCAGGAATGACCCAGGTTTCTAGAGACGTGATGCCGATGT